CCCCAAAACCCCAAAACCCCAAAACCCCAAAACCCCAAAACCCCTCTGGAAGCAAGGATTATAGAAATTCTGCACAAAAATCATGCTCTTTTTGGGAATTCATTCAAATTCTAGTCTCGTCTTGTCGGTTGATTAGTTTAAGTTTTGCCAAAGTATGCTGTTCTTCTTGGATTATCTATAGTAATTTTGACTCAAAAATTATAAAAGATAGCTTACTGTATAAGGTACTTTTTGGTGTATTCTGAGGAGAGAGTTTCTTCTCAATCTCTTTTCTTTCCTCCTCCGTTTGAGGATTCACGGTTGATGAGGATGAAATATTCATTTTGACATTGCTCATTGAAAGTTCGCTATCCATCCTGACTAGACTTTTCTCATATAAATCTATAGGTTTATAGCTCTGAGAAAATATTTTAACTTACTCTTCTTTTTCCTCTTACTTCTCGTTCCTTTGTCATTTGACTGGAACAAATTAGGGCTAATATCTACAGTAAAGCTTTACTCTGGTGTAGCCATTAATTTAGAGCTTACCTGGATTAAAAAGGATAGATTTATCAGGATTCAGACAAATATTCATTGAAATTCTGGTCTGAGAAGGAGGTTTCTTAGCAGCAATCTTGCCAAATTGTTTATTCCTTTTTATCTCACAATATTTCTGCTGGAAGTATTTCCGGAACTGCTTAGTTTTAAAACCGTTTTCTCTGGTTGTCTCTTTTGGTTTCTCTTTAAATGAAATTTTATGTTGAGGATAGTGGGAAACCCAGGATATTCTTTGGTTCATTCATGCTTTCTCCTTTCTGAAATTTACTCTGGAGGTCGACTCCATACTATGAATAGAGGTTCCTTTGTTAGTATAACTTTTGTTCAGCTTGGGGAGGGCTTGTCACTCTTCTTGGTTGCTTGGAAACAAGGAAGAGTGTTTGCTGACACTGCGAAAATGAATATCTTTTCTCCTGTCTGCTCTTGAATGTTGATTCGATCTAGAGAACTCAGGGGATTCTTCCTTGAAGTATAACCTTGCAGATCCTCTTTTAGCACTGAGAGAGTGAGTCTGAATGCTTGCAAAATTATTCTTTACCGTGGGTTGACTTGGTTTGATTGCTTTTTGGATTCCTATAACATCCAAAAAATGATAAAATTATGCTACTATTATATTCCTTGGAATTCGAGATTTCTTTAGAGTTCTTGGGGCAGATTTTGAATCTATAGGCGAGAAGAATGATTGTGTAGTATTCATTTTTATCAATTGAGCCAATATATTATAAATTTACTGGGGTTTTGGGGTTTTGGGGTTTTGGGGTTTTGGGGTTTTGGGGTTTTGGGG